ATATGGAAGTCGGAAACACAGTTCAGATACATGCTCGCTTCAACAGGCTATGGCGCATCAGCGCCTGTACAACTCTCTGTTCGTCACTGTGCTCAACTCCGCTGTTCACACACACTCAACTCAGGATCACCCTGGATATCCCACACGCGACACACTGTATCACACCCACGCACACACTACACTCGTCTACCACCTACGGCGGGTATGGCCGCTTAACCCTGCTGGCTATGGTTAAGCAACCTCTACTCTGCCCACTTCATCTTCGGGCGCTCTGCAGACCACCTCGCACAAGTCGCTTAAGCAGCGCTTCCGCATGGCTTACGCAGGAATCAATGAATGGCTGGATGCTGCCTCTTGATTTATTCTGCTGTTCGTGGCTGGTCTGCCTCTTTTCCACCGGGCCCTGAGTGCACACAGTCCCACATGGTACTTGCTGACTGAACTAAGTGAGACTGGGACTGGGTACCGCTGACTCAGCATGGGTGGACCTCACCACTTGCCCACTTGCCTCTGGTCTGCTGTGAGCAACGTTTGAGGGGCCACTTCCGGACCTTCCGGAAGTCTGTGGACTTGGCCTTTCGACACTGTAGCAGCTACGACCTTGGCCTCTCAGGACTGTAGCAGCTACGACCTTGACCTTTCAGAAATTCTACAGCTAAGACTTCTAGAACTCAGTAAGACCTCTATCCGACAGGTCTACAGATCGAACCCCTCCAACCTACGGACCCTACGACAGCCTACCAACCGTTACGAATACACAGGTCACGGGTTCAACTCTCGGGGTCGACACAGGCAGTGTACACAGGTAAGGTAAGGACTAGGGATCGAGCCCTGGGATCTGCATTCGCTACTGCTAACAGGTGAATACCGTTTCAGGTTCCTTTTTCCATTACTTACTTGGTAACCGGGCCTGGCCACCCCACATAAAGGGCGGATCTGGGAGCATTACCCAGTGCTCTGCTTTTGACAGGACCCGAAGGGACCCAAGCAATGCCTACTCCCTATACTGCTAAGCCTACTTTTTCCTGAGGTTAAACCCTAAACCCTACCTTTTGCTCTAACTCCTGCTATCTTCTATTTTTCGTACCCCCATTCTTCTATTTCTGTTTTTGAACAGTCGCTATTTCCTCTACTCCTACTTAAATAATCTCGTCCTCTCTCCTAACACCTTCCCTGCTTAGCAATATCGCTCCTTACTGAATTGCGTACTCCTTTCATGCTGTGCCTCTGGTTCACCGTCCTCCTTTTCCTTTTTTCGCCTTGTCACCTTCCTCTTACTGCCCCTTCCTTTCCTTTAGGTGTATCTTCCTACTCTTCTCCTCTATTTAAATAATAATTTCATCTCTCTTGTCTCCTACTCTCTATCATGTGCCAGCTTACTCTTTCTTATCTCCAATTAAATATTAACCTGGCGTTATGCACACTGGCAACTTTCCCCTGGCCCAGCGCTCTTTGGATAAAGTTAGACCTGAATTCCTGGGCCTGCTCTGGCCGCTGTTGGATTCGATTCTGGATCCTCTTCCATTGTGACCGGATGTCTGTTTCCAGTAGATTGAATAATGTCTCCTCTGCCTCCTTGGTGTGCATTGGCTGCTTAACCAAGGTGATTTGACAGCGCCTCTTCCAGATAGTCCAGAGGCAGTATTGCCTCATCATCTGTTTTTCGAAGGCTTGCCAGTTTCTCGGGATATCCACTCCCAATAGCCTGGTAGTTATGCTCTCCGGGAAGGGGGCTGTTGTGATTCGCTGCCAAATATGTGTGACTTTCTCCCATAAGGCTCCGGCCTCTGGAAATAGCAGCAGGCAATGCAGCATGGATTCTGGGTTCCCTTCTTGGCAGATGTTACACCGTGCATTCATGGGGTCTCTCTGCTTTTCGCTCCTTCTCTCGTTCAACCATGCATTCACAGGAAGCGCAACATGGGCAATTAACCACTGCATGCTCCTGATTCTGCCGAGGTGTATATTGCTGAGCTGTGACCATGGTATTGTAGGGAGCTGCTCTGGTCGGACTCCCATCCTGTTCTCCCAGCGCCTCGACAGTGGGGTCTTGAGGGGATGAGATCTCCTTCTCAATCTGTAACCGATTCGAGTGGTATAATGCAATATGTTGATCCTTCTTGCCAGTCCCAGTCTTCCTTCTCTCAGGTTCCATGCCCATTCCCCGGGGTCGATCTCCAGGTCTTCCACAGATGTGGTAAGGTTAAACATTGTGAATTCTCCTGTTTCCACCTCTCGTACTTTGTGTCGACAGAGGAGACACAAGGCAGCGCAAGACAAGCGAAGCTGAGGGAGAACAAGAAAAAGAGCAACGGAGCGGCAAACAAGGAGAAGTAAGGGGAATGAGAGGGGATTGAGGGAGCGGAAAGAAGCAGGAAGAGAAAGAGGGGGAGATAGGGGCGAACAAGGGGAACGTAAGATATGACTTAGGGAGGTAATTCAAGGGAAATAGGTAGATTAGGGGGAAATAGGAGGGGGAAGAATGAAAACAGGTAAGAAAAACGGGAAAATAAAAACCGCAGGGAGGGCACACGCAGGGAGAGAGGGGAAGCTATTGAAGCAGCGAAACAGGTCAACCCGCGAGTCGACCATGGCAACGTCATACTAGGCGGCAGCCCAAGAGGCCATGAACGACAAAGAGAGAACGGAATTCAATAGGGAACAGAAGTCACCGGCGGCAAGCCAATCATCCCAAGGAGCATCACAAGCAACCTCGTTCGGCGAATCTGGCACATCCAAACCACGATCGTTGGGACAGAGAGCCATGGAATTCCTACTCGAAAAAACTAAAATCATGGCGGAGATTAAAGTCACGAAGGAGGCCATCGGAACAACAGGAAAAGAGGAGGAGGTGGATGTTTGGGAATATCCAGATGAGGGCATTCCCTCACTCCATGAGCTTTACGAGCAACATGCAGTCCTCTTCAACTTCTCAGGCAAAAGTCGGGAGCTCTCGTTGAATGGGAAACGTCGGTGGGTGATCGACAAGCTTCGGGCACTAGAGAGCATCCCAGGGCGTGAACTGGAGGTGTCCTACCACAAAAGAGGGGAATTCATAGTAATGATAGTATGTGTGGACCCGACCTACGAGCAATATCTCCTCTCACTCGGCTTCTTCCATAAAATAAAGACCGGAGGTAGGAATGCCTTGATAGACCAGCTTGGAGGACTACAAAGAAAACGTCCACTGCGGAAGGAATGGTGGCAGTGGTGCATGACTTCTACAGTAACTTGTACGAAACAAGGGAGTCAGACCATCCGAAACAGCAGGCGGAGAGGGCACACTCAAAATTTTTGGCTCATTTGGGGCACACAATCTTACAGATGCAAGCAATAAAGCTAGACGCTCCTCTGTCACAAGAGGAGTTGTGGGAGGCGCTCAAGTCCATGTCACCAAGACACCAGGGAAGGACGGCTTGACCAGGGAATTCTGGATGGAATTCTGGCCAATTCTGGGGGAAGAATACTTAAGTTACTTGGAGCAAGCCTGACAAATGGAGGGGATCGGCTAGGGCCCGACAACTGGGATAGTCACTCTCCTATACAAAAAGGGTAACCCGACAAATATCCGTAATTACAGGCCAATAGCCC